AACCCGCTGTGCTCGCATCCAGTTTCTAATTCCTCGCCTACTTGTCGGTCTCATATCCATCTTCTTCCTAGTGAAGAGCAATGTACTTCTCGAAGAAAATCCATGAATAAGATATTCTAAATAACAAAGCGTCATCAGGCATGAAAGGAGGACCGCGAACCTGAAATCGAAAAAGGGAAGATTATCGAGGAAGATGATTCCGATCAGCAAGGGTGTACACGGGTTGAAAGTCAGACAGACACCAGTCGGAGGTAGTCGACATCAAAGAGGAGCGGAGCAGGGAGCACGAGCGAATTCGAACCTAAGCGTCGTAGCCAGAGTCTGTAAACAAAAAGAAGAGTTCCTTGAACGTCTGTGTGAGTGAAGAGGAAGATTCATAGTTCAAATTAAAAGACCCTCACGAGGAGTAGCAATTACGGACTTCGCCAGCACCCCATCTAAAGACAACCTTCTTCAAAGTTTCTCTGAGCTCAGAAGTCGCTGAGTCATTTGAGGAATCATTGCCCTTGCAAGCGACGTCTCAGTTCTCTATGCACAGATAGGGCCTCCGTGACCTTTCACAGAATCCATTTCCTAGATATGTATGGTAGGATGCGTGCGAGGCACATGAACTCGAAGAGCGCCAAGGCTTCCCAAAATTCGTAAAATTGACCATTTCTGCTGATACAGGATGCGAAGTATGCTTTATATTCATCCAAGCACGCGCAGCGTCGCCCAGCTATTCCCCGGACCTAATATCCTCGTAACGACCCCAGTGCCAACGGCCTGAGAAAGTCTCAAAGTGACACAAACCTTTCTTGGGTCTTCGCGTCGTGGTGTGTCGCGTCAGACAGTGGGGCGGAGGAACTGGTCGGTAGAGTAAGCCGAGCATTCAATGGAGGGGAGTGAAGTGATTTTAATGGCTTTTAGCGATTTCTGCGATTCTGACATCGTTGAATGTTTACACGAAGATTTTATGTATTGGAGGAGACCGCTATGGAGGAATATGCCAAGACGGTCACTAATTTTCGAGAGTGCCGTATGCGGATAGGCAGGAGTAGGTACGAGATTGGTGGATATTGAATCAGGATTTGGCATCGGTACTAATGTTTCAAAGCCGCACGTTTCTAGTGGAGCGTAGGATCGGGCATTCCCATGGCGGGTTTCGGTGTTTCTAGTCGTGGCATTGTGTCTTATCTTGAGTATTTGATAGTTGGGAAGATGGACAAAGCTGTTGATGGTATTAGGAGCCACGTGCCCGGCCGAAAAATGCCCCAAAGATTGTCATTGGAGTTTACACTAGAGCTTTCAGGCGTTAAGGGAATTCTTGAGCGTTGAATGAGCTGTTGTTCCCACCATCTTAATCATTTCCTTCTGCGCCGCTAAGCAGTCAAATTTTCCGTACATATTTCGTTATCCGAGTATCAGTATGTCCGTCATCATCTTGTACACTGTCATTGCCATCCTCTATATTGCGCTTGCCGACGCGCTCAATGTGATAACGCAACGTCTCGCTCTCAATCAAGATCGTTTTCTTTCGCCGGTCAAGAACTGAAGGTAGACGGACATCCGGCGTCGATGAAAAAGAGTAAGACATTAGAGGGGCCTCTTTTACGACCAGGCGAACATTGTCTTGGTCTTTAGACTTAGCAAAGATAGGAAAGCTGTTCCGTAGAGTGATTGATGCCGGAATGCGCCTAAGCGAACTCTGTAACGAGTTTCGGTCACCACCTTGACCCTTGAACATGATTGAACTGGTGTGATGATTGTGTTCCAATGAAAGCACTTGTGTCTGGCCCTGGCTCACAGGTAAAACAGACTGCTGGGAACTTATCGTCGTGTCTGCCAATGGCGAGACTTGCGTTGCCTGCTTATTTCTCATTCCCGTCATGGGTCCGCGCCGTCGTACTTTTTGTCGTCGTGAGTCTCTTGGGCCCATGGATCCTGATGCCACATCCAGGACCACCAAGGTACGGTCGCGGTCTTTTTTCCTGTGGAGGTAATTCCCACAGCTAGAGAAGCCGAGATTGAGAAGAGATTGCGAATGTACTTCAAGGGCCTTCGGAGCCTAAAATGCTTCAGCCACCTCGCTTTTTTTTAAGAGGCTTGGGTAGTGTTTTCCCTTCAGTTGTCAGTCGATAGATCACCACCGTATTATCTGAGCAGAACGCTACGACAGGTTCGAAGGGATAGAAGCACACAAGGTCTTGTTTCTCTGCTCTCTGGCGATAAGTCACCAGGATTAGAGGACTGGGAATGAGGCCAATACTTGTGATTCGTGCAAAAGCAGGTTTCAACATACCCGAAAAAGGTTCCTCGGAGAGAGTGAGAAATCGGGCACCACATATTCGAAAGTTTCCACCATAGAGTGCCGCCAAATACTAGTCATTGGGTAAGAAAATGAACTGATCCAGCAGGCATGTTCGGGTGCAGAGTGTCTGGCATGCAAAGATTTCTTCCTCATGTTTTTTCTGAACAATCATGATTTTTGTGTAGTGTAGGCACCCAGGAGCAAGGAGTATTGGTAAATTTTTCGCAAAGACTAGGCTCCTGACGGTTCGTCCAAGACTCTGAATATAGTATCTTCTACAACTATCGTACGCAGCGAAGGAGGGAATTCAACTGGCAATCGGAACATTAAAGGGTGGCATTGAGCGTTCTCTCGCGGTATTAAAACCTCATCCTTTGACGTAACTTTTAGAGTCTCCAAGGACCATGACTCATCGCGGCCTTTCTGTTTATAGGCGAGACTTCGTGCGTGTCCCGGGGTCGCCCAGAATCGATGCATGGACTATGAGTGCGGGGGAGGTAACACCCTTAACATACCAACCTCACTGCTGTCCAAAGATGCCTGCGAGGCTATCAAAACCCAATCTACATCATTGTCGGAGTTCAGAGTCGTAAACGTTGCAAGATTCTCACCAAGGAATCCACACTGTGACCCAGCCTGGATTCTCGGACCCCCAATCTCATTCGGCTGGCTGATTAGAACTCTACGCCATCTTTGGTAAAGATTGCCGACCTGAAGGGAGAATCGGTCCAAGCCATCAACGAGTTGCAAAGCTTCTCTTGCTGACAATAAAAGCAATCTGCCGTGAAATAGAGTCACAATCGAGACTAGTGTGGTCAACTTGTGCTTTTGGCGGAACAAAAATAATGCCTCTATCCAGGTCGTCACCAAAGGTTTATTGTGTATGAAGATGTTGATGGCAGTGAAGGCAGAATAAAGCAGCTTACCACTGTCACTCTGTTGAAGCGACATAAAACTTCTCTTTGTATGCAACGGCCACTACTCTGAAACGTACTTGAGCAGAGGCAGCTGAGTTTCAACCACATCCTTCTGTGGCGTGAACGCCGACGAAGAAACGAGAGGTCTATTTGGAACTTCGTACGTCATACACGATAGGCAAAACCCTGTCGTGGATCCTTCCGAATAAGAGATTTCAATGAGGAATGGTTTAAGCGCGCCGCGAGGCCCTTCCTCTCGCTGCGTGAGGTACTCGAGAACAGAGACATGAACAGAGTCCACGGTCCTGTCTTTACGTACCTCCACTAAAGAACCACACATTTGCGATAGAACGCTTTCGAAGTTTTGAATGGAGTCAAATGAGGTCGCCGGGCGATCCTGTTGCACGGCCAGTCCTGTTCTCCGAGCCTCAGCTGACAGTGGCCGCTTAGCAACAGCAAGCTATTGAAAGATGCGGGTGACCTTGGACTGCTGCTTTTCAGACATTCGCTTGTGCATTTCTTTCAAAATCCTGACGTACATTGCGTCTAGCCCTTCAGATGATTAAGCTGATAGATCGGGTCCAGACGTTCATTCGGAGTCAAATACGCGGATGAGAGATAATTGCTCATGGGGACTGATCATGAAAACATGGAATCTGTGCGCGAAGACAATTGAGCAACAACGTCATCCAGACCAAGATCGCCTGCAATAGCTGTTCGTTCGATCAGCTTACCCATCCGCATCGCATTCGGAGGTAGATCTCAATGTCTTCAGAATTCTTCTGGTTCTGCAGGGCAACACGGTGAAATCTTTGATGGTCGATAGACCCGGAAGTATCTATAATCGGCCTTGTGAGGTTAAGAATCTTACACGATGATTTGAGAAGGACATCATTGAACTATAGAAAAAGATCTTCAACATCCGGGCACTCATCGAGTCTATCGATAACACCGAACGAGGGTCCCGGACATTTTAAGAAGAGGCGAATAATGTCTAGAATGTCTTTTTCGGAGGCTTTGTTCTGGCCTTTCCCATTGTAATGTAGAAGCGATGCTATATCGATGAAGTCAGGGTCGGATCGCCGGGCTTGAAGCATCTGGGCAAGCACAGCCTGGAAAGCAGCGCCTCCCACGTGAGAGTCACTTTGGAGGTTAGTGAAGTAGAAGTAGGCTACCGAACCAGCACCAGCGCTCCAGAATGAAGGCTCTACAGCGACCAGATTTTGGAGGTCCTCTATGATTTAGCTACAAAGGATCGTTTGCTCGTAGCCTGGCTTACCTCCACGATGACCCATTAAGACCATTTTTACCTTATACAATAGGATGGTGGCGTACCTGAAATTATTAGAAGTCGTGGTCAGGCAGTCTCCGCGCTTCCTTGTTCTGAAATGCCTCGAGCCCAGGATTTGTATTTGCTCTGTCCAATAAACCAGGTACCACTCTCATCTAGTCGCCGCCGCTCTGCTTCATCGTGTGCTTTTGCCCAATGGGAAGCTGCAATCCAGTGCTTCAGATCTCTGAACTTATTACCTAGATAATTTGTATTAATTGAAAACGCGAAATAACGAGATACTTACTCAATGTATCTCACTGCTTCGCTTTCCTTTCATCATCCATTTCTTGGCGACGTAATGAGTCCTTCTTTAACTCTCGATCAATGTTTGCATGTTGCGATAAAGGATCCTCATTGTACACAAATTTAAGCTCATGTTCGAACAACAAATTATTCTCTTTAAGCCAGCCAAGTGTGTTAGAGACTCTTGTATCAAATGGCGTCCAGAAAAGACCTTGAGTCATGCGGGCTTTGTAACATATTCCTAGAGTGAGACTTTAGTAGGACATGGGTAGACTAGAATCTCCGACAGAATAACGGACCTTGGTGTTTTCTAGGTTACGAGCACCATCACAGAACTCGAGGACGTCGGTATAGACGTAGGCTAGAGACTTCGACAGACGCTGTAGTATCTCCCGCCGTTTCGCTGCCTCATCTGCGCTATTTGCGATTGCAAATGCGTGACGTTGAAGAATGACCATGTGCTTTACATACAGAGAAAGCCGTGCTGTGATCTGTCACAGCATGTCCGCAAGCTTTTTGAAAAAGGAACCATAGTCCTGACTCAGCTTTCTCATGTTGGAAAGGATAAGAAGGAGACATCCGCAAGAACACTTACTGAGGAGAATAGTCGAAATGCACTTGAGACGATCGCAGCCTATTCAGAATGGCTCGAGACCAGAATTCCGACAGTCTGGAATTATGGCTCTATCGCTACTCAATTTGACTACATGCAGCCAGATGTCGCGATTCTTTGCCTTTGCTATGCTGTTTGATATATACCTGCACATTTCGGATCATTTCGCAGGGTCATCAAAGAGATGAATTGCGTTCTTCTGGTCCTCGGAGAGGCCAGGGCGGAAGTCGGCAGCAGGCACCACGAAAACATTGTTAGGGGTCGACAGACTATTACGAAATGGTGAATGCAAAATCGAAGGCAGTGGCGAAAAGGGCACTTACTCTACGGGTTGCAATGTCATTCTCGCGAGGATCTGCTCCTATCTTTTGAATTAAGTGAATAACTTCATTGAGGATGTCCGGTATGCGGTTCGCTTTAGGCCTCGTTGCGGCAGACCCTGCAGCTGCAGCTGCCAATCACTTGCGAGCAGTAGCTTGCCAAGTTTTGCGGACACATAAGCACACTCTCAGTGGTCCACCGCCTGCAGCCCTATATGATGTGCGTGTGGTCAGTAAAGATAATCTAGAGGATCGCCCACCAATCAGCCCGACCCTTTCTGAACACGAGTGCACCAGAGAAGCTGCATGATATCCATTACCGCTTACATATACTGTAATCTAGGCACCTTGTATGCCGTGGCAATATGCTATAACAACGGGTGCAGCGTCCCATCCGATGTCGTAATTAGGTCTGAGCTTTGCTGGTTATGGAGGGTTTAAAATATCGTAAAACGCGAGACGATGTATTACTACTTGTTAAAATTGGCAGGAAACCTCTCGACATAAAGGAGAGCCTTTCTTTAGCCAAAGTACCACCATCTCCAGATCTGCATAATTTCTGATAACTCATTTATATGTCTCCCTAAATAGTTCTAGTTGATCGCGTTCGGTGAAGAATATGCGGAATTGAACGTTGACCCTAAATAATTTGTAGAGCAGATTCCTTTTGCTGACTGTCTAGTTCCGATTCTAGAGTAGCTGTCAGCGGTACCTACGGCGGTCAGTTATTTCAGGAAGTGGTGCCCGTATCACGGCTTCTCGAACCCCGTAGATTAATGATGGTGGACGACTCTAATATAAGCTGTCTGTCTTACCAGCCGGACTAACAACTTGTATGTATATAAGATGAAGTATGCTTTTCATCAAATATCTTTTCTTGTGCTTCTGTTAAGTTATTTCACAACCATAGATATTCAATGAGGTCGTATCATAGCTATCAGTACTCTATTGGTAGCCTAACCCTGTCGGCTATACGTTCTTCCGCCACCGAAACACACCCACTACGCGGTTAGCGCTTGTCACGCATGCAGCCTTATCAACATTCCAATCTCTTCATGCATGAGGCGGAAGGCTGCGCCGACATTTCCTTAACTATCATCTCTCTTACCCTCAACAGCTCAGAGTACACGTGGGTAAGAAACCAGACCGCTGTCACTATCTATCACGAAGCAACTTGTCTTTCGGAGAGGAGATTTGAGCGCAGCACAAAGTGGTGACAGCACTGTACGCTTGCTCGGCATCTCTATCCGAGAAGTGTCTGATTCACCATCTAGACAGGTTGGACGCTTGCTTCTCGGATTAGAAGCGCTCTATTCGACCCGTTCTCGGCCATGGCGAGCACTAAGCGAGGTCTACGCCTGGAAGGCAAAAAGGCCATCATTACTGGCGCTGCTGGGTGGGTCTGACCAGTCTACTTTTCAATATTGACTACTGGTTCTTTCTGCTGTAGCACTCATACTGCTCCCTTGTCTGCGCTGCAGTTCTTTCGCCTGCATTTGTCTTATTGTCGAAGAGCGCACTCAGCATGCAGTGCCCCGTCCGGGTCACGTGCTCAGTAATAACCTTTATTTTGCCTCGGTGCTTACCATATTCTTGCCGTTCGTTTGCTGTATTTCGTTCCTACCCCAAACCTATTTGCGTTTTTGGTTTCCCGACATTGATGCCTCCATTTCTTCCTAGCGGCATTGGCCTCGAAACAACGATCCTCTTCGCCCGCGAAGGCGCCGCAGTCCTCATGGCGGACATATCCGAGCCCGCCCTTGCTACCGCACTAGCAAAAGTCCACACCATTCTCCCAGATCCGCCTCGACTCGAAACCATCAAATGCGACGTGTCTAAAGAATCTGACGTCGAAGCCATGGTCAAACATGTCGACTCATGGGGCGGCGTCGACATCATGTTCAACAACGCCGGCATCATGCACGGTGATGATGCTGACGCAATTGATACGCCGGAAAAGATCTGGGATTTGACTCACAATATCAATGTCAAGGGTGTATGGTTTGGAAGTAAACATGCTGTGCTAAGCATGCGGAGGCATGAGAAAAAGGTTGGGAGTATTATTAACACAGCCAGCGTGGTTGCTTTGGTGGGAAGTGCGACGCCGCAGCTGGCATACACAGCGAGCAAAGGCGCTGTACTGGCAATAACAAGAGAGTTGGCGATTGTGCATGCGAAGGAAGGGTTTAGATTCAATGCGTTGTGTCCTGCCCCATTGAAGTAAGCCTTTCTCTCAACTTCCTATTGGGAGATGCTGATACTGGTCTTCAGCACCGCGCTCCTTCAAGACTGGCTCGGCGATGACGCAGCCAAACGCCACCGCCGCGAGATCCACTTCCCATCAGGCCGCTTCGGCGAAGCCATTGAACAAGCCCAAGCCGTCTTATTCTTGGCCAGCGACGAGAGTAGTTTCGTGAATGGGACTGACTTCGTGGTTGATGGGGGATTGACAAGAGTAAGCATTCTCACGGAGTGTCGCAGAGGTCCTCGACTGCTTGACTCGGTATTGTCTTGTTTCAGGACTTGCGGCTGATTGCTGTGTATGACTAGGCATATGTGACCGCTCAAGGCCCTGCGACCAAGCCACCTGCCAACTTTGCTAGATAGAGGAACGAGATACTGAGCGGCGATGCGCTGGTGAAGGATTGTGAGATCAAGCCCAGGTATGACATTATCAAAGCTAATGCGGGAGGGCGGTATGTGAGCATGGAGTTATTGTCGGGCTCCGCTTTTGCCGTTCTAATAGACACACCTGGTTTGATATACCATAGACAGAGTTCTCAACTTCTACCGATCGAACTTGAGAAATGAAATGTTCAGACTTTAATGAGCCCGTTTGAGCCCATTCTCTCAAAATCGGTGTCTACTTGGTAATTAGGCAGATCAGTCATGCTGGATTTCTTTCCCTGCACGATATAGTGTACTGAATGATCGCTTCGAAATTGCGTTCAGCTACAATTATGTCAGGATTATTGCGACCTGTTCTAATAAGTCCCAGATCCGCACAGAAAAGAACGTACCCTTTCGAGCCTTGATCCAGTTTACGACCAAGAGAAAGTACTAAGGAAAGACCATCGCTTGGCTAGGACAACGAAGCCCAAAAAAGTGAACCATTCATCTGTGCCTCCCCACTATGATATCCAGAAAACGACAGTGTGTCACCGCTGCGGTACCAATTTCCCACGAATGATTCGTAAAGGCGAGAAAATAGCCATTATAGGATCTAGAATTCGACACTCGCGTCGAGCGTCGAGTATCTTCCCGCGGCATCCGTGGAGACGTAGGATGAAGATGTCTGTGAAGACAAGAAGTGTCTGTATTTTAGAGGATATTCGTGGAAAGATTTGAGGTTTGCGGTAATGCCTGCCCACTATTGCTCACGATGTCTTTACCTTTGAATTCTTTCCGAATGGTATAAATTGCGCATGGCTCATTCGTTTGTGGCCACAGAAGACCCGATGCCACACCAACGCCCAAAGCGAAGGGCATGAATCCGAGGAACAGGCCGGCGATCGAGCCACCCATATGTGACCAGACTAGCGATTACGCTGCCATCAACAGCCAACATGACAAGAAAACCGACGAGCGGCCTCTTGTGCACGACTTCCAGACGGGCATGGCAATTGCACCTGTGCTTATGATGATCGGTGAAGCCATGGTGGTCAGAGCAATACTGGGATGGCAACCAAGAACGGTGATCAATGTTGCCGTAAAAGGTAAGGAATTTAGGATGCTTTGGTCTAGAGCACCCGGTGACTCCAACTGGAGCGACCGAAGGGTCAGTCATGTGAGTGACGGGCATATCAGTGTGCCAAGTAGGAAGCAGAGAAGGTCAGACGAGTCACAGATCCCACAAGGAGGTCCTTGATCCGGTAGAGCTGCTCGACGCCGGTCCCAAATGGAAAGAGCTTGTTGCAGCGATCCTCGCCTAATGTTGCAACAGTATTGTCCTGCTTGTCAGTGGCGACACAGTAAACACGAACACTTCACGGATAGCCATGGCCCATCTTGGCTCGGGTTTGAGAAGGAGGTCTGTAAAAGCTCGTGTATCGAGCTGAAAGACCAGAGATGGGACCTCTGCGTCCTTACATTCCTGTATAGCTTTTTCGTCGCTGAGTTGGTCTAATTGATTACGCAGCGTTGCCTTGTATGGTCCGTCTCTGAGAGAGCTTTTTCCGCGCGTGCAGAGATTTTTTCGCAAACACAAACAACCATCTATGGTTGATCCTCCAGTGCCGTGATTACCATCTCTTCCTCGCCAGGCTGACAACTCATAGCTCTTTTGAGAGAAAGCAGCAGGGTGTCCTAGAGCGAGTGGAACTCTGCTGCCAATATTCTCAGCTCGAGAAGATGATCGGGGTTCTGGATTTACGTCGTGCGAGCAAAATTTCGAGTAAGATAGCACTCAAAATGGGGGACTCGCTCAGCGCAGTGACCATCACGTTCTTAGAAGATCTGAACTTCGGGATCGCGAGCCTGAGCTCGAAGTCAGTCGGACATTTACGCAATGAACTCAGCGTTCTCAACTTCTTGATCCACGAAGATCGTCCACAGCCCGGATCACCCAGCGACTCCACCAGGTCGCTCGCAAATTCGACGGAATACTCTCTCAGACGATGTATGATCACATCTATATCCGCGACCCACGTCACGGTCATCATGAGAAACGCGCAACACGGATCGAATATATCCGGCCACAGATTTGTGGGATCGCTTTTGGGTCCTATACATGTGAATAGTTGAACCGAAGTGGTCCCTTTTGTCAGATTTCGCTGGGGCAGGAAGAACGTCGCTCTCTTGGTCGGACTTGCAGCGCGGCTCATCTGACGTATATCGCAGAGCTGGATGTCTGCACTGACTTCACCTTCTATGTGCTGCTCAACGCCTCATCTCATGAAGTGCGATTGGCTTGTTCTTTGTACAGCGTTGCTTGCGCAACTAGAGAACGCCCGAGTTTGAAGAGGACGACGCCCGGTTTTGCCTAGAGGATGACAGTCTTCAGCCTCGTAGCCTTGTCTTATGCCGCAGTGTCATGCGTTTGTGATGTAAGGATTCATCTATGGAAAGAAAGCGGACCGTCACTGACCTCCCTTAGACACAGTTTCCTATACCTTGCCAGCGTCGGCACCGTACTCTGATTTCTCTGCGCAGTTCTCAACATCAACCCAGGACACGATACCTTTACACATACCCGTGTGAACCAACTTGGGCATTTTTCTTGGCATTGGCGTCAATCATCTCTGGTCTTCATCACAGGCCAACCTTCGAAGATTGTTTCGTATCACACGAATGTCGATTGCACATGCCTGCTCCGGCGAAGCAAGTATCATTGGCGAATCGCCGCTTTTACCAATTCGTGGTCAGGATCCTGCGTAACCTCCCCCACTGCCTCACGAGTACGGCGATGAGCCTGCAGGTGGATAGCAGAGCCAAAGGAGCCTGGGACTGACAAAAGAGATGGATTTTTGTTATATTCTGTCAGCCGCTCGCCCTTCAACATGCATCACAGTCTTCTCGAAGCATCATTTGGCCTGATCCTCATTCACGATTACGGTGTCTTCTAATCCCTCGATGACCCAGTCTTCCTCTTCGAAAAGTCCGCCACTTGAGCCTACTCGGCGAACAAGTTGTCATTCGATGCTCCTTTTGGAACACCTCGTGACACTATCCTCCGCTTCGAAGATTGTATCACCTACACCGCCCTTCCCACAATGGATTTTTGTGATCAGCATCAGCAAAGGCGTTAGGCTTAGACATGGCTTGCGCGCCAGCATAGATCTACCTTCCGGTCGATGCAGTCGCGTAAACCTCTAGGCAACCTCTGGGGTTGGTGCAGGCATTCCCGGGCGTCGAAGGACCACATTACCCGGCGTGAGAGAACCCTTCGTGGGGACAGGAACCATGTGAGAGAATGTAGCGAAAGTCATGCATGCAGGGCTAAAACCCTTGATGAAGCTGTAGAAGTCCTGCGCGGCGCCAGAAAAAAGTGATAGTTTCAACAACTTTTTCTTGAATATCATTCATTTGTAGATGGTTCTCACCCTCTATGGAATTGCAACAGTCCTACATTTGAGATGTGGTGCCAGGAAAAAGTGATAATTTCCACGAACTTTTCCGTCGTTTCATATCTGCAATTGAATTCTTTTGATGCGTTTAATCCTTTCTACTCAATATCCTCTGATAGGAAGAGTCATCTTATACTGGTCGATATCGACAAAACTATGCGTAAATGAGCAGAAAGCGAGCTTTCTCCTGCTGTGATTTGGAATTCTCTCTAGCATGACTTTTGCTACGTTTTCTTACAGAGTCATGCTGAGCACTTACGACCTTGTGCATCACATTTTTCAACCTCTCTCGCCCTTGTCTTCGCTCCTCCCCGGACAAGCCCTCAAACACTGCACCAACTCCCCCGCCTTCGCCCGCGAGAAGGCCTGTCCTTTATCATCAACCCCGATGGCTAGCAGAACCTCGTCGTCCAGATACCCCACGTGCATATCCTGCGCTTCATCTCCTCCGTCTTTCGCTGCCCTCGGCTGCCTTCCCCAAGCATAAGAAATACTGACCGTGTACGTGAAATAGGCCCAGTAGTCCTTGCCGCGGTACGGCTCCGTTGCATTGGCAGCTGTTTTCTTCGTCATGGCGACGATCTTGGCGTTGGCAGGATCATCATCCCAATTCTCGCTCGCGGGCCATCCTGAAGCCGTCTCATTACCCATCAGAACCGGGTGCTGGCTGATGCCTAGCATCTCAAATGGCGGCGTAGCAGACCAGACCATAAAGTAGCGCTCATAGCGTAATGGAAGCTTGAGCCAATTAGGAAATTTGCGGTGCACAATAGCGAAGAAGACGGTGTTGTCTGGTTTGGCTTTGCAGTCATAGTCGAAACGATTGCAGAGCACAAGACGAAGAGAGTTGGTTGCTTGATGCCAAGTGCCTCCTCTCTTCATCTTATCTGGTTCCTCGGCATCGGTGAGATCACGCAGACACGGCTGCTCGAAGGGATCCGTCAGATTGGTCGTGGTTAAGCCATTTCCAAGGAGCTTGGCAAAGGTGCGTCCTCTGGGTCCGCCACGAGGGTTGGAGAGATCGTAGTGGATATAGGACTCGCCACTAGAAGGGAAAAAGAGGAACCAGTTCTTTTCGATTTGTGAGCGGGTATTGGCGGGGTTGCGAGTCAGCTCTGTGAGAGTTGGGTAGGACTTCAGAGGACCAAGGGAAGGTCGTTTGGGGGAAGACGTGAGAAGCTTTTGGAGGGGCGAGTGCAGGGTGCGAAGATCTATGATCCAAAGGCCGAAACAAGCGTAGCGGGATCTGTAGAACGTCAGTATTGTGTTGAAAAGCTAGGAGGGGGCCATACTGGGTGTTGACCATCATCAAGGGCTCGCCTTTGCCGCTCCAGAAGATCCGAGGATCGTGGAAGCCCGGGATGTCAACATAGGGCATGAATTTCCCTTCACATCTCTCTGCCGGCGTTGGTGGCACACTAAGGGTCACTGGTGATGAGACACAGCGCATCCCACCGCCAGGACCGACGTGTCGAAGGTCGTCCTCCGTACACCGCTTCTCCCTTGGCCTTGAATTTTCGCCGGATCCAATGTAGCAGACATTAGCCTCGCACAGCACATTCTCTTGGTGATTGCCGTCTGTGACGATCCTGCTCACGATCAAATACTGGTTTTTCGACCAGTATGGCAGTGCGATGACGGTCGGATTCCAGAACACTCTGGATTCCGGCTTCAGCGAACCTGGTGGGATCTGCGAGATGTTCTGGACGATGTCAGGTAAGCGTATATGGCCTGTGTATTTGTTGGCGTCAATGGGGCATCTGAAGAGGTGTTCGAGATTGGGATCGAGCCCTGGTCGCCATAATTTCGAGGTGCTCTTATCATCGTTCAATGCCTCCTCGTGTCTGTGGTAGCTGTAGTAGTATTGATTGGGTGGCGAAAGATGATTGTATGAGGAATTGGCGATGGGTAGGGGGTTCTGCAGGCCTGAGATTGGTACATGAATGCCTTGTGGAGGAGCAGGCGCTGGGTGGAGGACGAATGATGGCAACGAGGTTGGAATGGGCAATGCACGGTAGGAGATGATGAGGGTCACGAAGACAATGGCGGGTAAAAGAAAGCGTCGTAACGGCGGTAAATAGATCATCTTGGTTTGTGAGAAAGCATGTGTTCTGGATATGGAAGGTTCCAACGTTGCCGAGTGCACAGATGGATGTGTTTATGGCGCTTGGCAGCACGAAGACATCAGTTTTAAGACGGTGCGCTGATTCTTCCTTGGGATGCAACTCACAAATCGTCATGTTGGACGTAGTGTTATGGAACAGAATGTCTGCTGCAAAGAGCCTTCTCAAGGGCATTTTCCCCCTGGACGCAGGGATTCTTCTTGATCCTAGACCATAACAATGACAGTCTTCGAGCTCCATGGCATTCACAACACCCACCGTCGGTTCGGCCATTGACCACTAGATATTCTATGCTCAGCTGTGTATGGGGCCTAAGATGCTTCATACATATAGATCGTAGCCCTTTGACGTCGTAATACGTTGAAATTTAGGCCAGCTAATGAAAGCATTTTACTCACTGGCTGTTCCCTCTCTTGCAGTCCATTAATCCTACACCAAAACGCCATCAACGCCTTCGCTATGATCGTCATCCCTTTTGTCCCGGCATGTCTATGTCTAACGCCATATTCCCAAACTACAAGGATTATACTACCTCGCATGATCGTCTTCGTCCTCCGACTCCTCGTCCTCCTCACTGCCCTCCTCTTCATCCCAACCCTCCGACTCGAGATTTGCCCCACGTATTCCGAAGGTCATCAGGAATCCGATAAAGGTTATACCGCCAAAGACGCCGAATGCTACGGCTTCGCCCTTGGGTTCTACATGAGTCCCGAGTGAGAAAAGACCACCAGCGAAAAAAGGGCCTACAGCTCGGCCGGCTGCGGATAGAGTCTGGGCGAGGCCATTGAGCGTGCCGAGGACGGAATGGTTGGGAGCGGAGTTGGTAATCTTGGACGAAGGGTAAGCTTGGTCAATGAAGACAACAGTGGGACATATACCAACAGAAGAAAGCTCGTCAAGCAGCCCACAGCAGCCAGCGACTTCACTAAGAGTATGAATCCCAGCTCGACCCACAACCATGCCTTGCCGGTAGAGATCCCTCCATCTCCATTCTTGCTGTCCTTGTACCCCACCCACGGCGTCAGTATGAATGCTAAAGCCATGGCCGCCATGCAGCTTCTGTAAGTCACCCGGTTCCCCAACTTCTCTCGCAGCCTGCCAAAGAAGCCAAGCTGAAACACAATGGTTGCGGCACTCGCGAAAGCCAGCGAGAACCCGATGTCTTTAGGGGAAAGGTTTCGGCCTCTTGGAGGGGCAGCTTGGCCAAAGATAGGGTAGAGCGAGTTGTAAGAGATGTTAGAGAGCTGAAAAATGAGATATGTGGACATGAGTAGTAAGGTGTCTCTATTTAAGATCTGAGAGTGTGTGAGATCTGTGGTATGGTGTGGTATCATTTCCGGAATCGAGGTCTGGGACCCGGAATCCGAATCAGAGTCTTCTTCATCTTCATCCTCATTGGTAGCATCGCCATCGATGTGTAAAGGTCGCTTGTGATTGATACTTGGTATCCGGAGGTAGCTGGGTCGGCTCGAGCTTGCGAACTGCCAGACCCAGCTGAAGAGGTTGCCCACTCGCTTTCCCAGTGGCGGCAGGTCCCTAGCTTCGTCAAGACTCTCTTCCAAGAAAACCATCGTCACTATCATGTCGACTATAAGGACGGCCGCTGAAAGCAGGTTGGGCTTCAGGTATGGATAAGGATCTTCCTTCGAGAAATGTGCGTTCTTGGAAACTAGCAGCCCCCCCACAACAGGTCCCGTGATTCCACCCAAGCCATATATGACCGGCAAATATATGAAAGCCCGAGACTGATTGCTTCGGTCTGTGATCTCCCCCAGGCATGTAGACACCACGCCCTGGTTCCCATTCACGAGCCCCATTAACACCTGTACAATTACTGCCTGCCATAGTGTTTTGCAGAACCCGAAAGCAACAAAGCATGCAGCGCTGAGCAGTGTTCCTGTCAGCACCACAGGTTTTCTTCCAATTCTATCTGACAGCCATCCCCAAAAGAAATTTGTAGCGAATTGTGCCAAGGCGAAGGAGGAGGCTACGAGCCCAACGTAGAGTCCAACCTGCCCGGGATCGACGTCTCCGAATGTGGCTACCATTTGTGGTAGGTAGGGCCCAATGGAGTTCAGGGCGGTCTGCTCGGAGAGGGAGATGACCGCCAAGACAAAGAGCTGCCTGATGGGGAGAGGTGACCCTTCATGGTTGGAACCCTTAGACCCCGTTCGGGCATGATGAGGCCCGTCGTGGGACGAAGTCCTGGAAGTGTCTGATGGCGGCTGACCTTTGGATTTGGGGGGAGGAGTGGGGAAGGTCTGGTAGTGAGTGGTTGAGGACTTTCGCTGCGTAGTGCCGTTATTCGGGCGTCCCATCGCAGGAAATGAACACGACGGTGTATGTCATAAGCGACAGTGAGTAACTCTGAATAACAAGTAAGGAACAATCATGGATAAAGCGAGGTTCTCCCCACACAGCAAAGCGAGAGGAAAATTAAGTCTACAACAGTACAGACTCCGAGCTTCACGCTAACACAAGCTCGATAAGATCTACGCTTGTCCCAATTCAGATCACTCTATCAGATCCGACTTGGCAGACCGAAGACTGGTAACTCTGACTTCGAATGCGAATTCTTTTGTCGTACTCAACAACCAATGAGAGATGTAAAGTGGCAATGACATTTTCATTCTCTATTGTACAAAGCTTCTAGTCCGACAGACGATCGATCATATTCAATTAGACGAGGAGATCTCCCTTCACTGCACCCTCCTTCTCCCAAAATATCTTCTTCAGCTTTCTCTCTTTCTCGTCTTCTATATACTTGTCAAAGTTCTTCTGTTCAGGATTAAAGACCTTGCCTTGATATACTTCGTGCGGCAGGAAAGCGCATCTATCCTCCACGCCAGCAAGATATCTGCAAACATGCATGTGCAGGAAAATAGCAACTCGCTGGTTCCCTTGCACTGTCAATCTCCACTTCGGGGGGGCCGCGGTGTCGTCGTAGAAGAAGTCAAGGCCCTCCGAGTCGTCAACGCTCGTATCAAGCCAGCCGGAGGTGTCGAGCCAGAACACCGCCTTGTCTCCATCAGCTCTAAGCTTGGCGACTGCGTTCTGAGTAGCTTGTTCAAGCTGACCCCGCAACGGTCTCATCACGAAGATGGGAATCGCTGCTGGCGCTATGCTCGAAACCATTCCAGGAGTCCCACTCCTCTCGCTTTGCAGAATGGATGGGTGTTTGGGATAGGCTAGTCCTCGTATCGCTTTGATCAGGGAGACGTATGTCGTCTCAAAGCTTTCAGAGAGGTCCCATAGAGTCTTGTTGTGATCAGATGCATGGTCGTTGAAAGAGATATCGTCTGAATCACCAAGGTTAATCACCTGTCGTGAGTTTAGTCAAGGTTTTCGGGGTGCTTGACAAGGGTCTTTTACCAAGACGTCTGGTACGTAAGCACTGAACATCCACGGATGTTCGAAGTATGCTGAGCCATAGGGACCACTGCGTATTCGATCAGTCCTCCGTCAGTGCATTAACATTGGGCAGATCTTGCCTGCGAAAAAACACATCTCCCATACCAGCTGATTCGCCAGAGCCGCTAATGCAATCTGGCGTTAGGCACATTCCATCGACACCAATTCCAACATGATCAGCCCCAAACATCTCCCCCAGCAAGTACTCCCAGCCCATGACACCAGATAGCAAGCCGTCCGCGCCTCCCGTACGCCTGCCCCGTTGCTTTCCGGTCAAAGAGCCCGGTGAGTCCGTGATAACTTCAAGTAGCTTTTTCCGATCTTGATTGGCGAATGGAATATTGTCGTCTTCGGCAATATCGCTGGCCTTCTGTCGACCACTTTTGGTAGTACCATCTTCCTCAATGTCATTCAGTCCAGTCCTATGCCTTTCTCCTACTTGATCGTTCTCCGCGTTCAGCAGATCCTCGTTCACGTAGTCCTCGCTGAGCAAAGACCCAGCCACTTTGACGAGCTTGCCTCCTTTGCTGAGCCAAAGACCTTCCAATTCCACGACGCCCATCCCATGGTCATCAGTCATTGGGGCGACAACGCGGACATGGTGCTCTATTCTCTCGTCCAGGCCATTGGAGCTGATAGTGACTAGCGATGACGAATTTGGCAGAAGAATGTATTCTTGGTCATCGACCTCGGCCAGCAAGGAGACAGGCGGTGCAGCTTTGTCGCCGGGGACTGGGTGGAATGAGTAATGCTTGCGATGACCATGCACTAGCAGTGTTGATGCTTCTGGGATACTGCTTAGTGTGCTTGACTCTTGCTCTGGCGCATTATGAAGGGCCAGGAGCAGAGAAGTGGTATTCTTGACGGAAATGTCAAAGTAGACTCCTACAGAAGGTCTATAAGCTATTCCGTCGCTATCAGAGTATCTTTGGTAGTTACCTGGAAATGTTCCATCTCTGCGTAATCTATTGGGCGTAGACGTCCAGCGGCCAACGTACTGCAACACGTCAATGACAAGACTATTTGTGTCTTGTTGCCGACTCACATGGATCTTCGGATTCGCGGCCGGGTAGAATTGATAGTCATGCATTCTCCTCTCGTGCAAGAAGTCCCTGCCTAAGCCACTGGCCCCAAGCTTGACAACATTCATCTCCTCACTGCCTCCGTTGAACCACCATAGAGCCAACGCAATAACCATGAGTAGAAGCCATACGGGCTTGCTCGCAAACAGACGCTTGAAGCGGTACCCATTGTGTTTGCGATAACACGATCTAATCGTGCGGCGAGGGGCGAATGACTCTGGGGTTTCGTCAATCGTTGGCGCTTTGAGACCTGCAGAGTAGTAGGGAGAGTATGCTGTTCTGGCGAACGGGGTATCTCCAGGAGTAGGGTATGGAGTGATGAAACGACTCGTAGGCGGTGGAGTGCTCCGAGCTGATTGGCGCGGTGAGCCAGTGAGATCTGTCAAGGTAAGGTGGAGTTTTGGACGACTGCGAAAAGGTGGCTGCGACATGGCCCTGAAATTCTTATTCTCCTCCTATCGAAAGCCTCTTGTAAGATGAGCGTCTTCAGGTTAAGATTTTCGTGTGTCATGCGAACCAAGCGTCGTTGCGTTTGGTTGTGTTGACGAGACCCCGCACGCATGGCATGAGCGACTACCTAGGCAAGTAGGTGCGGTCGCTCAAACCTCATCGTCGATCCGTCAATTCAAAGGCCAGTTAAATTCATCTTCTGAGCGTCTAGTAAGAAGATATATTCAGGGTATCACACGCGACGCAATGCATGTCTAGAAGCTGGACGAGGAGAATAACTCCCTTGACGTTGCCATCAAAATGGGTCCTGACGCATACCTAACTTCGACCTACCTATCTTCGACCTGCCTACCTGTCACCGGTCTTGAGGACTTCAAGAGCACCACTATCATCAATTCTACTATTGGGCAGCGAATAATGCCAGATACACTCCCCATCCCATTCCTACTAAGCTTCCAACAACCGTCTTCCTCTCCACGGGTATGAACAAGTGCTGCACTAGATTAACGGCCGGCCAGAGCTTATAGCCCGCTTTCATGACGGGCCACATTTGCTAGCATGCAATTATCAGCAAATGCATGCATCTACACTTAGAGCACCACCACATACCTCCCTCACCGCCATCCAGCATTCCTTTAATGGCACGCCCCTCAATGCCCTACTACCTCCGACATACGCCGCGACATTGACCACCGCCGAAATCGTTTGATCGAGCCCAAGCTTGATCAGCGTGTTCCGCACATTCAACCTCTTCTCCACCTCCACACCCTTGCCCCCGTCATCCACATTCATTTTCTTGAGAGTGTACCCGGGGAATTTCTTTTCGATATACTGCTGCCAAAGGTAGTTGGGAGGCGTCGAGAGCAGGGTGTAGAGGAGAAGAGCTGGGATATTTGGCGGAGGCGAAGACGTGAAATACTGAGCAATAAGGAGTGAGCAGAGAGTAAGGACGGTGGATTCTGCGTCGATTTTCTAGTCAGCATTGCTTCTTTGAGGCAAAGTCCAGAGTCGCAAGACAAATTTTGGGGAGTAGGGAAGGTCAAATTGCGCGACTCAGTCTCAGTACCAAGTACGAAGGATCATGTCCAAAATGTACGTACGAAGGGTCGCGTTAATGATTGGTGGGACCATCTTGACGGAGATATGTGTGAGAGTGAGATTTTGCTCAAAAGAAAGCGCAAAGCAGGAGGCCTGGGGTATCACTGAGTCTAGTCTCCAGGTAACCCAGAGCTTCTCCCAAGGCGAATGGTTTCAATGGCGCGTTTGGCTCGCTTATTGCGGCTCTTAGATTCACCCCCGGATGCAATTCCCTAGCAAATGCAATCTTTCGTTCCACACCATCTGATTAAAACCTTGAAAAAACAGATTATGAAGCGTAGAATACGATTTCTAAAGCTTCACGGGTTCTTCAAATCGAAGTCGTACTGATAAAGTTATATAACGATCGACTTGTAGTACGATTTTGGTGAGACGCAGACAATTAAGGGACCGGACTTATCGGACATTGCATCTGCCAGGGGATTGCATCCGGGGTTGAAACTAAAGTATGCAGGAATTGGGGAAGCCGAGGTCTGGCAGGAAACGGCGTAGCTTAAGCCCGGCGGCATGGGAAAAGGTGTGGGGGAGATGGAGCTGATGTTGTGCGTGTCATTGTAACATCCGGTCTTTCATATCGTATATATCCCTTGCAAATCTATCATCAATCTATCTTCGTCTGTCTACACTTGCTCGTATGCAATCAGCCAGCAGGACATCGTCCGTGTGATGCGGTAGAAATCATATTATCATGGCTTTAGGTAGATACATATGTCTTCCCTGATGGGACCCCAACAGCATCTGACACGTTGACTCCATCACAGCTACCACAGCCGCCATTGCTGCAGGCACGACAGCAGCAGCAGCCTACTTAGACGCCAAGTTCCATCTCAGCAAAGACATCCGCCAGTTGCGGATGCTCAGCAGTGCGGAGCGCGAGACCACAAGAGCTAGTACAGAAACCCTCCCTCATTGGCATCCCCTGCCAACAGCTCTCGTTGGCTGACCCTGTAATCCTCTCGTCACAGTCAAAACCAAACGCCTATCCTGCCTCTACTTCTTCGAAGAAGCCGTCCGCGACTACCCCGACGCTGAGGCTATCTGGTCGCGTGAGGGAATATTCACTTGGAAAGAGACACATACCAAGACTTGCCAATATGCTGCATATTTCCTTGAGCTGGGTGTCAGACCTGGCGAGCTGGTGGCCTTTTATTTACAGAACTCGCCTGAGTTCGTCTTTGCGTGGTTGGGATTATGGGCCATTGTACGCTTTTGAGGGCTTTTAAGAACAGAAACGTCTGATTGACTGACTGTGGTAGGGATGTGCACCGGCCATGATCAATTTCAATTTATCCGAAGATGCCTTGATACATTGTTTGAAGCTTTCGGGCGCCAAGATAGTAGTGGTTGATGAAGAGGAGAAGGTGAGGACCAGGATTGATGGTGAGAAGCAGAGGATAGAGGAGCTTGGCATGCAGACCATCGTGCTGTCTAGGGAGTTGAAGAGCTCCATAGCTGCAAAGACTGCACAAAGACCTGATGACAGCTATCGAGAAGGCCTCAAAGCCAGCTTCCCAAGTGTACTGTTTTACACCAGGTGAGATCGAGACATTCCACGCCACAAAATTGGCGTCAGGACTCGCTGACGAGGAGTTCATCAGTGGGACGACCGGTCTGCCCAAAGGCGCATCATTTCCCACCAGTCGAATGCACCTCGCGGGTGCCAGGCGTGCAAATTATTGTGACCAGCGCCCCGGTCCTGGTGGAGACAGATGGTACGTCTGCATGCCGATGTACCATGGGACGGGTGGAATCGCGGCAATGACGTGCATGATGGCCGGTGTCTCCCTCGCCATTGGTAAAGGCTTTTCAGTCAGTAACTTTTGGCGTGATGTCCGAGATTCGGAGTCGACCTTCTTCGCGTATGTGGGGGAGACGGCACGCTACCTCCTCGCTGCACCCCCGTCGCCATTGGATAAAGAGCACAAGGTCCGTTGTATGTGGGGCAATGGATTGAGACCCGACGTGTGGCTTCCTTTCCGTGAGCGCTTTGGTGTACCGGAAGTGGCCGAGTTCTTCAATAGCTCTGAGGGTATGTTGTCTTTGTTCGTCTGGAACCGAGGAAATTATTCTGTCGATTGTGTTGGCCATCATGGAGCGTTGATGAGACTTGTAACGAGGGATACATTCGCGCCCGTAGCCATCGACCATGAGACGAACGAAATCATCAGAAACCCAAAGACAGGCTTTGCAACACGAAATAGCTACAATGAGGGCGGCGAGATTCTTGTCAGATTGTCCGATGAATCGCTCTTTCCGGGGTACTGGAATAACCCTGAGGCAACAAAGAAGAAACTCGATCGGGATGTGTTCAGAAAGGGAGATCTGTATTACAGATCGGGCGACGCCCTGAGAAGGACTGATGACGGAAGATGGCTCTTCATGGACCGCTTAGGGGATACGTATCGATGGAAGAGCGAGAACGTCAGCACTGCCGAGGTCGCAGAGGTGATTGGCAAATTCCCCGGCGTCTTCGAGGCCAACGTGTATGGAGTTGAGATACCCAGGCATGAGGGCAGAGCAGGGTGTGCTGCTCTTAGCATAGCGCCTGAACATCGGAAGAATTTCGATTGGAGGGGACTTGCATCACATGCGAGGAAACAGTTGCCAGGATATGCGGTACCTGTCTTTGTGAGAGTGCTAGGTGGAGAAGTTGGCGGGGCAGCGAGTCATAACAACAAGCAAAACAAGGTTGCTTTGCGAGCAGAAGGGATCGACCCGAGCAAGAAGGGCTCAAAGGTAATGGGTGGTGGAGGAGATGAAAATTACTGGATGTCCCCAAAAAGCGATAAGTTTGTCCGCTTCGAAGATAAGGACTGGCGCAATCTAGTGGGAGGGACAGCTAGGCTTTGAGAAATGTTGTGTCAATGTGCATATAGCATGTGGTAATGTGTAAGGGAATATTGAGCCCATGAGTCTGTGGTGCACTCTTCTGTTGAAGGAACCCGAAAGTGTCGACCAGCTATCAAAGTCTCGTCCACATAAGACCAACTTCAACTTTACGCCGTTCTATATCGGGGCGCGTGCATTGCCTCGATGATCTGTACGATCCAGAGATTAGCATGTGCAATGACGACTTTGCGACGTAATTAACGTGAATTTTGAATGGCCCTCAGTGATCTTGGTGTAACAATGTGTAATCATTCCCCGGAGGAAAATCATTTACTATCTAGTGCTTGTGTTTTGTAATCATTGGGCAGGAAAGGTATCTGGACTAGGCGGACGGACCTTCCTGCATTCCATCCATGCAAAGGCAACCACGTTGATGGATGCTTGGTGCATCGCGAGCACATTCAGTGATAATCTTGAAACGATCGGCCAGGTACCTAATGCGATCCTGGTCAGCAGGCGAGAAAGAGACTCGATGAGAAAACGAGCTGGGCACGCAGAGGAAGGTCAGAATATGTAAGATTGAATATCATACAACTTTCTCCGTATCGAGCCTCCGGCGAGAGGTTCACGGGCAAAGAGTCAATCGCAAATTATAACATCATAGTGTAGAGCAGAGAGCCAAAGAATAGAGTAGTCAAGTATCATACCTCCATCACACTCTTCAATTGTAGGCCCGAGCTATCGCGAGTCGGATAGGCGAGCTTGAGCCTGTAGTCTTGAGCACGGAACATCTCTTATAGATCTCACATCCTTGACCGGTCACTGGCGGCGCCTTCAAATCTTCCGCCTGTGACTGCATCTGCTTGCCTGCGGCGAGGACTCGGAATACGCCGGTCTTACTTTAGTCGGCATATTAAGTCGGCGGTCGTGGAGGATCACTCGCGTCTCGCAGAGTGATTTGGTGCAGGCATTTTCTGTTGATAACCGTGTAAAGAGCGCAGGCGAGTTCTTTTCAATGGTGTTGGAGGCAGAGGAGGACGCAGCGCCCAGTGCAACAGGTACCGTACCTCATCTTGGAGGGTTTTGTCATCGTGTACCGGTAGTAATGAGAGTTTTAGTATCTGCGCGCACTCGCATAAGCATTCAAGAAGATACGAAAAATGTGCTTGGTCTAAGATGTTTGAAATCGCACTTCGAGAAATTGAATGATCTGCAAGCCTGCAAAGTAAGGCGCTAAGCTAGCGCCAAATTTTAGCCGAGCTGCCCACCAAAGTTGACTCGCAACTCAGCATCGGTGATCGATTTTTACAACATCCTCTTTACAATCAGATCTACCTGTGAGTTATCCTTGATCCACTATATCACCGGGAGCACTGTCACTGACTCTAAATCCCTACAGTCACCGCCGGCATGGCAGAAAACGCAGACATCGAGATCAAAGCCTCACAGTGGAGGTTGGTCGAGGTCGGCCGCGTCGTGCTCTTTACCCACGGTCAATACACTGGACGCTTAGCAGTCATCGTTGAGATCATAGATCACAAGCGTGTACGTCTCGGCACCCGAGCCTTCCTCCCACTTGCTTGGCCTGACGTTCAGAACAGGCATTGGTCGATGGACCATCCAAGAAAGAAAATGCAGCTGTCCCTCGTCAGTCCGTCGCACTGAACAACCTTATCATCACTCCTATCGTCATTGAAAAGCTACCACGAGCCGCTGGGAGAGGTGCGGTTGCGAGAGCATGGGAGAAGAGAGAGGTTGAGAAGAAGTGGGATGAGAGTGCGTGGGCAAAGAGGCGGGAGCAGAGGGAGAAGAGACGTAATCTTTCGGATTTCGATCGATTCAAGGTCCTGAGGTTGAAGAAACAGGTACGCGAGTCCCGAGCATGCGCATGGTCCCTTGGTGTCTGAAGACGGTTGCTCTATTCCACATGACGGCAGGACTACCTGGCTAATTGCATTCTTTCTAGGCACGTTTCGAAGTTCGCAAGGCACACGCAAACGTCCGAGCTTCGGCAAAGTCGTCATCGTGAATAGAGGTTCTTTGTGCGGGAAGCGGGGAGCAAATGTCTAAGCTTTACTATTGCGGAGGGGTGGATGCTCTATGCTAGGACTGAGAGTCGAGTAGCAGCACTCAACCACTGAAGCGCACGAGTGTCTCACAATTGTTTCCGTTCAATTCGCCAACGTCTTCCTGAGGATCGATTATTTGAGGGTCACGAGAAAAACCTGAAATGAAGCTTCCACCAGCCAGTTACGTAGAGTGTAGAGAGCGTATAGTCTGATTACACCTGTTTAGTGTCACTACGTAGCAGTCTGAACTGCGATAGATCGAACTTGGATTTGCGTTGCAAAGCCCTAGCTTTCACTAGCGCAAAATCGAAATTCGGCAGAGCTTCACCAAATCCGCTAATTTCACACAGTCACACTTCGAGTCTTCAAATCTGTCAAACACACTCTTGCAGTAAAGTAAGTGAAAACCCGAGCTTCACAAGTATTACCGACTGTCAATTGTCCTTACAACGTACGCTGCTTCACTGCCAACAGCGTATGGGAAGTTGGGAACGTTGATTTTCAAGTGATGCAAAATTATGCGCTGACAGCTGTGCTTTAGTACATTCCTGCGCCAAGATGTCAAATCCACGCATCGAAGAGCTTCCCGACGACCCACCTGCCAAGAAGGGCGCAGAGGTCGACGATGCCTCGAGCAGCTCCGACTCAGATGAAGCGGATGCGGCGGGAGGAGAGGGGGACTCCGGCATCCCAGCTGGTTCCAGTGTGACCGTGCACTCTCGTAACGAGAAGAAAGCGAGGAAATCAATTGCGAAGCTGGGGTTGAAGCACGTTCCGGGCATCACAAGGGTCACGTTGAGGAGGCCGAAAAATGTGGGTCATGGACTCTGATTGCATGTGGACCGGACCCTCGCTTGGGCATAGCTTTGGAGGCTCTCAGAGCAAGGCCATTAGCTGATACTTCCTCGACAGATCCTCTTCGTCATCAATTCGCCCGACGTCTACAAGTCTCCCTCGAGCAACACTTGGATGTATAGGCCTCTGCAATTCTGAAATTTGGGGTTAAGGCTGACACTACATGTAGTATCTTTGGAGAAGCCAAGATTGAGGACCTCAGCTCTCAGATAAGCGACAGCGCTCTCAAGAACATGACACCCTCCGACAACGCTGGTGACTCTCACGCCGGCCATAACCACGCTGCCGAGGGCAAGGGCAAGGCTATCGAAGAGGCCAAGAAAGAGGAAGAGGAAGATGATGGGGAGGAGGTTGATGACTCGGGTCTGGAGGCCAAGGATATTGAGCTGGTCATGGCCCAAGCGAGTGTGTCACGGAAGAAGGCGGTCAAGGCTCTCAAGGAGGTACGTATGTCCAATTCTTAACCTGGGCAATAACCTGACTTTTGTGTCTACAATTGCAGAATGATAACGACATAGTCAAGTATTACCACTCCCTTCGTCTAATACGTTCCGTGCTTGCTGACACGTTGGTGCAGCTCTATTATGGCGCTTTCCAGTTAGCAACAAGACTCCCTAAAATGGCACGAGCAAGGTTGAGCACGGCGAGCACGGATGATCTCTGTACTAGCGATGCTTCCATAGCGGGGATGGTGGGATATTCGCCATATCCAGCAGATTGGGCATACCCTCCTGTTCTGTTCTCAATCTCCAATCAAAAGCACCCAGTTGAACATATCTCAGCGTTCGTTTGCAACAATCCGCAAACTTGTAGTATTTGCGCTTGTCGTGACTGCTGTACAGGGGGCTACGGCCAACGTAGCAAGGTATCCCCAACCGTTGAAGATTGCAGAGCTCCTCATGAGTATTGAAGCTGCAGCCTTAAAGTATAGATGAATTTGATTGCTAGTCTCATGGTGGAGCATCACGTGACCGACCTCTTGAGAAATAGCGTGCCAAGACATCGACCAGAAGCTCAACCTCAATCTTCCATTTTGATTTATCTCACGCCAACAACATCCCATTGCCATTGGAACCGCAGACATGGCAGCAGGAGTACGTGTATCTCCCATCATCACCCCGCCCGGCTCAGGCTTGCGTTAGACCCTACTGACGCCCATCCCAGCGCTCCGCCGCCCTGAAACTCGACTGGACCAAAATCTCCACCTCTCTCGGTCTCAAAGGCCAAACGGCAACCGCACTCCAAGCCTTCAAAAAGCGCAACGACGACGCGCGCCGCAAAGTCAACCTGCTGAGCTCGCAGCCCCAGTCCGTCGACTTCCAACACTACCGCGACACCCTGAACAACACGGCCGTGGTCGACGAGATCGAAGGCCACGTCAAGGCGTTCAAGCCGGCTACGTACGATGTGGGACGGCAGATCAAGGCCATCGAGGCGTTTGAGGTGCAGGCTGTGAAGAGCGCGGAGGAGACGAAGGGGAAGGTGGATGGGGAATTGAGGGACTTGGAGGCGACGTTGAAGAATATCGAAACCGCGAGACCGTTTGAGGATTTGACTGTTGTGAGTATCGAGATGTCGGTCGTCGGACTCCCTGCGGCGATGCTGATGCTTGTGTGCGCTTTTAGGACGAAGTTGCGGCGGCACGCCCCGATATCGACACTCGAACAGAACAGCTTGTGTCGAAGGGGCGTTGGCACGTCCCCGGCTACAAGGTAGGTGATCTTGGAGCTCTTGACTGGCCTCGTCGATGGAATATCAGCATCGTGCTAACGGATACTCCAGGAGAAATTTGGGGATCTCTCGGTGCTATAGAGCAGAGTGTACACTTGCGTTTATCCCTTGCATTGCGGTCTAGAAATACTACATTGTATACATGCCAGACCCTAGATGCCTGTTAACCGTGCCTACCCATTCACTGTTTTCCGTGCCTGTTAAGTGACTCGACGCAGTGCAATGGGAGCTAACCCTGGCGCTTGCACCATGGTCCACAGTTCCGAAGTTGGACAAGCAGATACTATATCGAAAATATACCCGCACCGACGGAAGCAGGAACCCAACTTGCCACAGCCACAACCAAAATGAAAGTGACCCTGGCCCGCACAGAGATTGGCCTTTTGTAAGGCCAGAAAGGCACGGTACTTGTAGCCAAGAATGGGCAATAATGTTCGTGTATCTGTGAAACTGCGGACCAGCATGAGATTAAGGGAAAGCATTAGAGGCTAGCTGCTAGGAGGGTTGCCTAACAATGAGTAAAGAGAGAAGGGACGTTGCAAAAAGGGCAATGGGCAAGAACGTAAGCTGCCAATTCACCACCGAGCTTCTAGAACACCCGTTATGATTGCCTCATCCAGCAGGCAAGAGACTCCAGAAGGTGCCGAGACTTTGGACGATGATTCGTCTGTTAAATTTGGGAAGACGACGTGGTTTACTTCGAAGACTTATTCAGTAGATGGGACGAAGGCTTCCTGCTCGCCCGGCACAAGGTGGGTAGCCAGATGATACATTCGTCGCAGTTTGGGGCATATGCACGTTGCTAAGAGGCGAGGCAGGAGTCACTGTCCTGTTGTTCAACTGGGATCAAGGGTTTGTTAATATCAGCCAGGTACGATTACATGGGCCTGATAGAGCCGCAATGAGTTCGAATTTGCTGACGCATCAGCCTATGATCCGACTCTCTGATGGGCGACGTCTCATGCTCTGTGCAGTATACTGTAGATACACCCCTTGCAAGTGCAAATCTTGATCACCAAGGCGTCGTCGGGGTACTGGAAGGAGGGGTCAGCACCCCCGTAGAAGAGGTCGTGGTATCTGTGTCAGCATTGGCATTGGCGTCAGTGTTGGCCTCTTGTGATGGGGTGTAGTTGGCGATTGGCCGGATAGAGGAGCTGAAGAAGCTGATTCGGTGAAGGATGTCCTGAGCGTCGCTGAGCTCTTTCTTCAGACGAGCTTGCTCTGAAGTAAGCTTTTCGGCATTCCTGGACAACATCGCTCTGTCGTCCTCCGCCTCCTCGAGGCTGTCACTCGCGTCTTTGAGCTCCTGTTCTAGACGATCATTTTCCGTGCCGAGTCTGTGGATCTCATTAGACATCGCAGTCTTGCTGTCCTCCAACTCTGCCAGCGACTCCATTACTCTTGCTTGCTCGACAGCGAGCCTGTCATTATCTCTCGCTAATGCTGCCTTGTCTTCTTCCACTTCAGCTAGCTCCTCCGTGAGCTTCTCAGCTCTGCCTTGAAAGCTCTCGTCATATATCTTATCATCCTAGAGAGTGTCAGCTATCAGTGGTCGTGCACCAAGAAGAACGTGGGGGTCATAGAGGAAGCAATCCTTGCACGTACAGTATCATGAGCATACTTTTGGTCTAACAGCGCTTGTCTCAGGATACTCACCTCGTCTTTGAGCTTGCGGATGCTCTGCGCCACCGTGTCAGAGATCCTAATTTATTAGAAACTCGGAGACAGAGAGCCTACATTTCGAAGTTTGCTCTTTAAATGCCTAGATTTCTTCTCCAATCCGGCATTCTCGGCCTCTAAGTCGGCTATCTCGGTCTGCAGCCCAAGATTCTCTTGCTGTAATTCGGGATCTGGCGACTGGATACTGGATAGCTGCTGAGTCAGACCATGTACATCAGCCTCGAGACCAATGTTTTCCTGGATCCAGAACTCCTGGTCCCGATTCAGTCTTCTGATGGTCGCTTCATTCTGAACAGCCTGCTCTTGCAAACGTCGAATTTGAGTCTGAAGGTCAGTGGTGATCTGTAGACTTTGGTCAGCCACGATGGTGACAATAGGGAAGGGGAATATCACAGCGTACTTTTGCGTGCGTGTTCTTCGCCGCCGTAAGCTCCATGGAAGGCAGCGCCCCCATGAGGTACGCGCCAATTTCCATGACTCTCAGCGACTCTGGGATGGCTACGACATCGGTTGGACAGGCAGCCAGATCAAGTAGAATAAGTTTTGTGATCGAGTCCGTGATGGTGCCAGGCGAAAACGAACCCTCGAGCAAAGACTTGAGCGCTACCCAAAACTCCAAGTCCTCGAACAGTTCGAGGGCGGACATTCGAGCAGCATCAGACGTGGATTTTGAAGGATGGGACTCAACCTTTTGTTGAATTTTGTCCACGAGGAAAGCGGTAACACTGTCAGCGGCTTCTGCGTTTCCGAGAGACTTGATACTCTTGTAGATCTCTAAGAGACTTCGAAAGTTGTCGAAGGAGAGGACGTGGCTGGGACTTGTGCAGCGCGACTTTATCTCCTGTACCTTGCTATTGATGAAATTGTTGATGGATAGGCTTGCCGCTCTCGCTACAGTCGGATCACTCCAGACCACCATCAGCCTCTCCAGCTCCGTTAATGCGTGAGGGAGGAAAAGGTCTGATTGAGCTTCCGACATGGTTGCTGTTACTCTAGTTGTGAAAGCAAGTGAGCTCTTCTTCCTAGATTGTCATGTATTGTGGTGGTGTACTGAAGTATACACGTAGACAAAGTATCAGGATTGAGGTGAAATGACGCGTCTGACACAGTTTTCAACGATGACGTGATGACAGCAATGGATCACAGGGCTTTTCTTCGCGCCCTGAAGCTTGATGCTGTTTGTCTCTATGCTGAAGTGTCCAGTTTGAAGATGAGAATTGGCAAGAAAAAAACCAATTGTTTACGTCTCTCATGCTGCCGTTGTTGGGGTCACTTTACCGAGCGAGTTCAATATACACGCCTCTACTCTGACCAAGTCTCACAGGCTTTCTAAGACATCAAACCCTCCAGGTAAGTCGGTACCCTTTCCAATTGGAGGTGCATCTTGAATTTTCTTGAAGTTTGATGGGGCAAGGTCATCCAAATAGAACCCTTGTCCGTCAGGAGAAGACCTAAGACTCTATCTACTAATGTGTAGGCCTTCGATCCTATATCGCTGACTGCAAGCCTCGATCTTAGCCGTCGCATGCATTATCCGCTCAATGCAAGACCTCATCGACCCTTCCCCTTACCGTCTTCAGATAAGGAGGTAAGATTCGGCTGCCATGTAGACATCACAGGACTTGTTCGTGAATTGCACCAAACCATTGCTGAAGGTAGGGGTCGCCTCTCCGACAGAGGATGAAGACCTATCATTCTCATCCGCCGGATCCTTCGGCCATATACTACCCACCATTCTAGCCCCTGGAGTATTCCTCAAACACACAGGCACATACGTCGAAGACGCGGATGAGTCGTTCTTCTGCTCCTTCGCCTTGACAGCACCCTCGTCTGAGCGCTCAAAGAACCATGGTAATGGTGGATTTGGCTTCGGTCCGTCAATAAAGGTCTTCGCCTCCCGGAGCTCCTTGGTTAGGGCTTCTTTCTCCTCCTTGAGCTCGTTTATCTTGACAGCCTTCGTGAATTGAGACAAACGTTCTTCGACCAGTTCATTGTACATATCTATGGCGTAAGCTTTACGGCCCGTATGCTTCAGTCACCTGCCGAAGCTATCCCTTCACCTACACATCCATCAGCAGTTTACAATATTGGAGGACTATTGAATCTAAGCCTACCTTGACATAGTCCTCCTTCGAATCTCTGATTGCTGTTCTTGAACTAGCTTCCCTTGTCCTCAAGGTGACGATCATGGCTTCTTGATTGCGTGGAACTTCCTCGAGGCCCTCAATGTGCAGAATCTAGTCACGATTCTCCGCTCCAAGCTCTTGAATGTACTGGGCCTTTCTATCAGCATATGAGGTGGATCAAGTTCTCGGCGGCAGGCTTGCATGAGCGGAGTCCTCCTTCGCTTGCTTGAGCTCATGCTCCCCAGCCGTCAGCCGAGACAACAGGCTCGTGATATGGGCGTCCAATGTACGCCGGTCTAGACTCGGCGGCGGATGATGAGAATAATCTTGATCGTGTTCATGAACCCATGCTACTGTGTTGAGATCCTGTTGATTAAACTCGAGGTTGCCCGTCTCCGTGTTGCCGACCGCACCTCCTGAATCACCATGCCAAAACCAATGTGCTGTTTATTGGAATTTTGGTAAACTTTCAGAGTCCTGTCAGCACGGTTGTTGCCTCAAAGACCGTCAGATTGAACATACATCGCCCTGCTCCCCGGGTATTGTGCTGGGCTTTTGCACGAATTGTACGATATCATTCAACGAAGGCTCTTTCCATTGTGAGCGGCAACATAATACGATCGAATATGGTGCCCACTCACATCGGACTTCCCAGCCTGACGTATGCTCAAGATACGGAGCTTCTGCGCAACAATTTTGTCGATCCAGATGTGGAACTGGGGAGGTAGCGTGTCTCGTAGCTTCGCGGCCAGCTTCAAGACCTCATTGACTTGGCATCGTCTGCGACTACGGGTCCCTTCTTGAACGCCTCCAACAGGGCATTCAGCCCCATGAAGACGACATAATCGAGCAAGCTGCCGGATGCTGAAGACGCTATAGGATACTTCGTCGTCTGGAAGCCGAGCGCGGCCCATTCCTCTAACGTCTTTAGGCAACGAAGATCTGACGTTGCGTCCACAGGGTTCAGAGCGAAGAGAACGGTGACCATCTTCTTTAAACGCATCGAGGATGCCCCAGTATTCGCCGTAATTTCGCGTTGTACAAATGTTGAGCTGGAAGATCGTGTTACGTATGCCTACCAAGCGGCCAAGATCTTTCAAAGAAGTACCGTGGATGTCATTATCACCGAGTGCGTCCAGACCAACCAGCTTTTGCGTAATGAGGTCGGTGATGGATTCAAAATTCGTACATGAGTGACCATGGTTTTCCCAAACTGCCACCAAGCGCTCCAAGTCACGAATCTCTTCATTGAAGCTATTCTTTGAATCAGTATTGGCCATGGTTGCGACCTCTATTCTTGGAACATCAGTGTGTACTCCCGACTGTAGAAATAATCTAGTTAAGAACAACGTGAGCGTTGAAGATAATGCTAGGTAAGAAAAGTCTCTTGGCTAGCAATTGAACCATAGATGAAGCTTACCTCAGAGCGACTCGCAATTCACAGCAGTGATATCAACCTTGCTGTAGAAGGCTTGGAGTTGTAGGAAGAACGGTGCGTAGTCGAACGCGAAGAGGTTCTTATGCACAGTGCCACCACGGACATGAAGTGAATATGGATCGTCAATACAGATCGCTGGTGACTACAGGACTGCGTGATCCCTTATCACCATGGTTGTCGGATACAGGAAGTATCTGTATCCTCCTTTCAATACAGAATTCCGGTTCATCCCCGTTAAGATGATGGCCCTTTAAGTTGGTTCCTCTTTGCTATGAGTCATCTCTATTCTAATTTCATGTACTTATCATATCTACTTACTACATGAGAGACCGAAGCGTATACCCGGGACACAACGCGTAGAGCATAACTCATGTTTGCTGTCAGCTGTTCTGCTTGTGAGAGGCCACGCATGAGACAACAGAATAAGAATATAGCAACAAGATGACAGCATATTCCAAGGTTATCCGTCATTTAATCTGCACGTCATGAGGGCTGAGTTTGCTGCAATAAGTCGTATATGGGAAAGCAGAGCATGTCTCTGGGCAGCGACTCCTGATCTGCTGCCGTCGCAGGACCTAAGCTTCTTGGGCCCATGACGGAGATGGATGATGGAGAAGATTCCCTTGCGAAGAGTTTTCGTCACCTACGCAGACAGAGATGTTAGCATGCCGTCAACTTTCAACATGGCCAGTCTTATAGTGGCAGATGGCTTTGAAGATGAGGTGCCAGTCCCTTGGGATCGATCGCCGTCCGCATCCAACATATTGACTTGTGCTGCCGATCATCTTGTTTGGATACCTCACTGTAACCTCACTCTTTGAACCTTGTTTTCCATGTCTAGCGGCTTTTGCCACTTCACTTCGCATTGATTTTCACATTTCCTCTTCACCTCACCACCAATCTTGCACCCGCACCATCAACGATCATCACAACAGTGCATACTAACGCAAGGTATGTGCCCATCTAGGTCACAATCTGCAGGCTTGATGGTACAAACCGAAACGCTGACCCGGACTGGATTCTCTAGACATGGCGAAGCGTGAAGAAGATGAGAGCTTCGAGCTCCAACAAAAGAGATGGACTGAATTGATCAACTTACGCCAGGTGATGATAGATCATAAGATGGACGCTGCGGGTGTCGAGCTTGCCATCTCTAATGTATTTGATCCCAAGAAAGGGCGTATCATCGACAGCATGATTTTGGATGGCCAAAAGTTGATGGCCACGATACTCCGGCTAGAAGAGCTTCGGATCGATCCCTCGAACGTGAAGATGACTCTGGAGAAGGCTTTTGTTCCTGGCATGAATGGTGCATACGACTCAGATCTTCTCAGACTGAAGGGAATGATCGAAATGAGAGAGCAGATGGCTGCGATGGGCCTCCCAACTGGATGTGTCGAGGTCAGCATTTCGGAGGTCTTCAAGGTAAGTCGAGTCAGAAGGAGGGTAGAAGGGATTACTGACAGACTCAGCCACTGTCGGCCGCCGCAAAGACTGTCAAGTCTGAAGAAGTGTCCGAGGCTTCTGCCACCAAGCCATTTTCACCAACGGCGGGAATCATCCAGCCCGTAGAGCTCGACGCCTCTCCAACCGCTATCTTCAACCAATCAACCGCAGAAATTGGCAAGCCGGCTGAATTAGAAGCATCTGAGACTGCTATTACCATACAGTCATCATCGAGCACAGAAGCCGGCAAGCCTGTAGAGAGTCCAGCTCGGCTCACTGAGATGAGGCCTGTGTCGAAAGACACAGAAACCGACAAGCCCGCCGAGGTACCCTCTCAACCCACTAGCATGAAGCATCCGTCGTCAGATGTAGAACACATCGCAATTATAGGGACATCAATCGAGGCAATGGACCTGGATTCCTCTCCGGCTACCACGTCCTCCCCATTGGCAAAAGCACCTTCAGTCTCAACCAGCCCCTCTACTGTTCGCTCGGCACCTTCGGCGAAGACAGCCTCACGCCTAAATAGCCCTTCTACTCCCCGCCCGACACTTTCTGCGAAGAGGAGCGCTCCCGCGGACACTGAGATTGAGCTTGGCTCTGCACAAAATCCCATCTGCTTAGGATCTTCGCCTGCTCCCCCCAAACGCCAGAGGACAACGAACGATGTCGCATCCAGGGCTGATCCCAAAACGAGAGAGAGCTGGAAAGTCCCAATCCAGTCCGTTGGGATCATGGGTCTACATCTCAAGCCCAGATCCGACGATGCAGATCTGAGCCTTGCCTTTGACGTTGTGACCCAGCGCGTCGTCTTCTTTAAAGGCCAACAATCTCTCACAGCGCTGTACCCGGGTCTTGAGATCGTTCCAGAGGCACTGCTTAGTGTGACACGGCCCGCGTATACTCAATCAAAGCAGCTCAGAGTGCGTTTCACGTGGCTCGACCCCGATGCAGAAGAAACCTTCTTGGACATCATGGTCGCCACTAAACAGGACTGTCGAGTACTGATCGCTAGACTGAAAAACCTTACTTCCTTCTCGGAAATCTTGTTACCTGAGTACGTCACACTGTTTCTTTCCTGTGGAATGTTCCAAACACTAACTCTTTGCCCGATACTAGACCCCGCATGAACAGGCTCTATGAAGACGCCACCTGGGTCGTGAATGAAACCCACAATGCATTCGGTGTCAGCGTGACAAAGCTTTCTGAGAATGTGTGGCTGGACTGAGGATGTTGTCTGAAATGCTGAGGAAGGAACATTGGGTGTAATATGGAGAATCACGTGCCGAGTCTCCGGACCCAGACAGGAAAGCGTCGTACGGCATACAAGGACCGCATCTCATGCAACGCTGTTGGTCACGTTAAGGATGTCAAAAAGCAAAGATCAAGTGGATGATTGTACGTAGTCTTGCATAAGATAGGAAGGTTGTTCAAGAACTCCATACCTTCTGATGAGCGCCCATCCGGTTACCTATGCTGTAAGATGTCCGGGCCTCTCCATGATTATTCTGCGGTTGTGCTAATTATCGTGAGGCTTTTGCTAGCCCTTCGATCTGCCTAGTTGCTATCGAGATTGCCGCTGCACCAGTCTGCTAGCGTCATTAATAGCCTTTTGGTGCGGTGCGGTGGGTCGCTCAGACATTGATTGGAGTGTGGCAGTCTTGGGCGTTGATCTCCTTTGAATTCTTACATTGATGGGTATCATGTCAAGTAGATCTGGCTATGGATGTGTAGGAATTATTCAAAACAATGTTCCACGACAGAAGGCCTCATCTTTCGTGGATGTTGTCAAGATTCAGAGGAAAAGCACGGTGAAACCTGCCACTTTTTCGCGGCAGCGCCCCTGTCGCATATGAGTGCACGGAGCGGGGAAGCATCAGGATACAAACACGGGTGAATCAGAGGACCTAGAAAAGGCAGTGAAGGCCAACGTCAGCAGAGCATATGCCTGTAACAGATCACTTAGGGGAGAAGGACCACAAGGCGAGTGAATTTCCCAAAAAGAAATTCTTCTAATACTTAGATCATGAATATAAGTGTCGTTGAAAAGTTCCAGCCTCGCTCTTCTTTTACACCATTCTCGATTTATCATATGCCAACCTCTAGCTTCCAGCCAAAATATACTCCATTGTCAGAGAAGCTGAAAGCTGCCAATCCGACACGAAATGTTCCTAGGTCACAAAGCAACATAGCCCCTTGAATCCCTTTTACAAATCTGCTGACATATTATGAGGGACTTGGACCTCGAGATGCCTCACATTCCATATCAAGCGCATTTCGAAGGCCATCTCGAAGACATCGAGAAGCTGCTCACTCTGAGGTGGAAATTGAAAGGTCACGAACTTGACGTTTATTGACAATCTCATCAAAGCAGAGTCAATTTTCCTACTTTCTTGCTAAACCAGTAGACCCGAGAGCATGGTCATGGAGTATGCCGAACGTGTGGTTCCTATCAGAAGCAAGATAACGTACCAGATCCACGTCTCCTATGGCTCCGAAACTGGCGCTGTATCCATGCTCGTTGATCCTGTAATCGTCCGCCGGATCGATTGCCTAACCGCATTGAATGAATCGGATGTCGATCTCCTTACCTCTGTTGAGCGCTTGAGTGGTGTTCGGATGCAGATCCCCGCCAATGCAGAGCTTGCGACAGACATTAGAAAGGCAATCGAGCACAACATTAGGCACTTGGCCGTTACGGCGAGCATTTCTTTCAGTGTTGTTGGTAGGGAAGAACCCAAGGACCTTAATGGCAGTAACAATTTGGCCGAGAAGGTAGCTCCGAAAGGGTACATTAGCCTGCAAGAGCATCACGACGTATAGACGCACCAATGCCCAAATCTTGACAAGTGGACCTAGTATATGCATTGGAATGTTGGCAATCTCGAACGCAGTATTGCTGAATTGAGCGCCAAGTTGGTTGAGTACGAGGAGGTATGGCAAAGGATGATCTCGACCCATATCAACGTCGCTTGGAACAAGACTCGTGGAGCCGCACAAGGCTATGCCTCGTGCCAGCGCAATACCTCGTCGCCACTCCACAACTTCGTTCACTGGCAATGATTCGGGCACCGAGAGCTGCTCAACGGTTGGGGCAACTCCACCGTCCGACGAGGCGAGCGACACGTTCCTAATGTCCCAGGGACGTAATTCCGACCTCATTCGCCTAAACCTTCAATTAGCAACACACACGCAACTCCTGATCCTCAAACGAGGCGTGGGCCGTTTGACGGGCAGGCTGCAGTCTTGAAGCTACCGGTAAAATGCAATCGAACTCCTTGCGGATCAAATTTAGATCCTCTCCAGAGCTTTGGCCTTCTAAACTCCTCAAATCAGAACTATTCTTCGGTGGGTGGTTGGTCTGGATTTATTTCTTCGATAGCTATAATAACGGCAGTCAGCACTAAAGCCTACAGTGACGGGTTTTGCCATAGTTGGTACGGTATATGCACCGGATTTGTTGTTATTTAGGCCTTTTGTACTTTGGTTGGGACAATGATCGAATACGACCATTTGAAATGTGACGCTGCACAAGAACCTTGTCCTGCGCTCGCTGCCCTAGATCCATTCCCATACTCTTTTGGACAAGATCATGCGGATTTCCCTTCGCCTCTGGTGCCTCTGAGCAGAGGATAGTGCTGACATTCTCCGTGGGTGGAGCATGCTAATATACGGCGGAAATTGATATAAAGTCCATGTTCGGTGACACAGCCTTTTGCTAATCTCCGGCAATCTCTACGGCGTCTGCGCAAAACCCAGAGCATCTTATCATCTTGCGTCATTACGCGTCAGTCCTGCCCACTGCCAAGCTTTGTAAGCGACCACGCGACCTCAGCCTCCTCGCTTAAAGCTAGCGCCCAGCCTAAAAGATCTAAAGTAAAGTACTCTAAGTACCTTAGGGCTGTGACTTATGCGAATCTGACAACACTTTGGGTAAGAAACATCTTAAATCAACGACATCTGGATCCTTGCCACGTGGCTACTTTGCTCGACTAGTTCGGATTCCATAGAGGCTGAGTCTGCCCCGACGGTCAAAGGCTGATTGAGTCACAGGGCGGTCTTACCCCCATGCCACTAGAGAACCTGAGCCGTACCGCTAGAAGCTTCGGTCATGCTTCTAGAAGGTTGCAACAAGGCGCTAGAAGGTTGGACATTTTCCAACGAAGGATTAGAAAGGATCTGTACCTGCAGTAGTATGGACGAGGGTAGCTTGAGATTAGATATGCGGGACATGAAACAATCATATGTGGTATTTCACAGCTAGCTGATAGCCACGTTCACGCTGAACCAAAGAGTGCAGGCTGTGTTGGTTTGAAATCAATGTGTCAGGCCTTCAAGGCGCAAATCTCTAGTGTAACGCAGTAATGACAGTGGTTTGACAAGGTGTATCATCGCTCCCAAATGCAGGACGAGGGTGAAACAGTGGAATCAGCCGGCCTGAAAATGCAATCAAGAACGCCATCCTAAATGCTCAGTATCCTGGACCCAATGCAATGCTCCGCTCTTGTATCCCTAAGAACTTTTCCCCGTAATCGTACATCACCCTAAGTCGCAAGCTGTCAATCCCTCATGTTTCCACCGCGAAAAAGATCAATAATGAAATCAGGCACCTATCTGCCCGACTTACTCGGAGGTGTGCTCCACTGGCGAAGCATCTGATGAAGTGCCCGAGTCCATTCCTGCTCACACGCAGTGGAAAGTTTGTCTACACCCGACGGAGAGGGATTGCGCCCTCCCCACATGGTAGGCTTCACCGCAAGAAGTCGTGCGTGCTTCCTGATAAGATTTCTGTAGAGGGCGGTGGTCAGCGTTCTAGCTCGCAGAACAGAAATGTCACACCGGTACAGAGGCCGGTACATACTACGGGGAAGAGGATAGGCAAAAGTAACTTACTCGTTCTTGATTTTGGTCAGTATCAACCAGCAGTAGTTCCAACTCCGGGTACTAGTAGGGTCTCCAATGACTTGCCACTTGGCCTCGTCCAGACATTCTGAGCTAAATGGATAATTCTTGGTCATGCTTCGAAGTTCGCTAAGAAGGTTGTTGGAGTTGACATAGTGAGCCCAGGCAGTGGTCATGGCCTCGGTGACGTCTGCTGAGTCGTTGGACGCAAAGAGCTTCTCAATTCGGCGTAGCTCTGTAAGAGTATTGACACGGTGAGTGCGTAAAGATCGGATCAACTGTTCTCGATCATTCTGGAGTAACCTTGGAATTAGTAATTGTTTCGTGTACCAAAGTACCTGAGACGGTGCATGTGCATGGTGGGTGCGGCGCTTGGCTAAGGCCGGACGCTAGACAGGGGTATTGCAGCTTGGCGCGCAGAAAGCAACAACAAGATACGTCACAACGCTCACTGACAAAGCAAACTTGAATATTTGGAAATGACCGCAGGAAGATGTGAAATGTAAAAGCGACCGAACAGCAAGGAAAGATTGAGCAATATACTCACCGAGCTCATAGTCCTTTGGGTACTCATCGTGCCTCCCGGAGTAGTGTTACGGCTGCCTCGGGGACCTGGGGAGTCGTAGAGAGAACCGCCTGAGGAGGAAGAGCTCTGCGTGGAGTGAGGTACTCGCGTGGGAGAAGGGCCGGTCAAGGTTGGGTACACGCCTGTCGACCTTGATGTAGAGCGGACTGACGAGTCTGGCGGTGGTTGAGATCGTCTGTCCTGATCTTGAGCGTAGGGCGATTCGTAGGGTCTTGACGAGCTAGCTGCTGCTGTGAAGTATCGTAGACTTGGGGAAACTGTTGTTGTTGGTGCTGCTTGTCTCGACGATGATGCTCTATCTGAGCCTGTTGGGGATGGCTTTTTCTGGGACCGGGAAGACGATTGATAGTCCATGGTAAAGAGTGCGAGATCTCGGAATATATAGACCCGGAGTGGTGGAGCTAGACCTCGCGGGAATATGCTAGACTGACTAATGCACGAGGTGGCCTGGTTGACTCACAAACACTAGCGTCTGTAGGAAATAACAGGTAGGAGTGGGCGGAAAGAACAAACGATGACTAGACAGAGAGGCGGAATTGAAACCGGAGAAACAACGACAGTGTTGTGGCTAGGAAGGATGTGTAAGGGAGTTGGTGAGCACAGTGCATGAGATTACTGAGAGGTGAGATGGACGTTATTATATGGGCGTTTTGGAGTCTTTATGATCATGGTGGATCGTAAAGCCATGTGGAGTAATACAACGGGCGAGCCATTAAAGGCTTGCCCAATTGACTGCCACGGAAAAGTCGTCGAATGAGGTGACGGCAGCATGCAATCATAGTCTGATCTCGTCAGCAGCGGGGAGGCTCATTATGCTCGACATGTCCTCCATGTCAAGCCTGAACATCTGATTGGAGAGAGAGAGAGAGAGAGAGCATGCCATGCCACGAGATAATACACGTTTTTCGTTGTGACCGTCGCATTACGCTGACCGTGCGTACCCAAATTTGGATCTCGCGTATCGGATACGTCCGTCGATGGCCCAGACACTGTAGACAGGGCAGAGCTACAGACATTCATTGTGTGAGATGAATGTTGCAGGGCTAATGACTAGCAGGCATTGCCAGAAGACAGATATGATGTCAAAGTAATCCGGACTATTCTCGAATGAGAGTCTGTGGACCGAGGTCATACTCCACCGCCTCAGTGAAATTCAAAGACAAGTAGTGAATAAGACCAGAGTTTGTAGTCAGAGGTCAGATACGATCATAACGTTGGAAAATTTTGCCTCAAAAGATGATGGTCTATTATGAGATTTAGGGTTGGAACTAACATGGTTAGCGCTGACTTTTCCAAAGACCTAAATAGCTATATCTGGACATCGAATGTCCCCTAAATGCCCTAAGTCATGAAAAAAGGAAAAGAGAAAGGAGCTTAAGAACTTAGACAAGGTGAAGAAGCATTCAGCCTCTGTTGGATCTCCAACCTATAGCGAGGAGCCGTTGGAGAACCGCAAGTGACGACCCAAACCAGAATGGTCGAGGCGGACACCATGACGAAAAAGGAGTCCTGAAATCCTTTGATCACAGGCTCCCATCGATGGAGACGGAGTTTCATGATTTCACTCACTCATCAAGCATATGACATCTATCAATAGAGGTTGTTAAAGGTATTTAGAGGTATGGTGGTATGGGAAACCAGGTGAAAGCGGGCAGCAGGATTTAGTCTACAGGATAGAATCGTGTGGCTTTCCTTGCCTGCAGTCATGAATGTTTATAAATGTTATAAATGTTATGAAGACGGAACCGCGGTTCTGGCCTAGTTCCTGAGCTACTGCAGGTACGATCAGGCGGGATCAATCTTCAATGAAATGGTAAAAGTACGGGAGACGTTGCTGCGTCCAATATCCCCCAAAATCCCAAATTCCATTCCCAATTACAACATTCATCCATAAGGTACAAACATACATGTACACTACTTTACAAGTTTACATGCATCATCACATTGCCCCAACAAGTATTTTGGCTGCCAATGCCAATGCCATGCCACTTGCCGAGCTAGAACCGTCGTCAGCCCTCTTATCCAGGCGCTTATTGGCTGCCGAGTGCAAACAGATGCATTGCAACGAGGTTATAATCTTCTTGTATTAGTACCGCGCTCTGAGAAAATCCACATTCAAATTCAAATTCAAGAACAGCAACGCACTCTTCTGCCAAGGTAAAATGCACGTCTCCACCAACCTGATCCATGCCTTTGTCGACAGGCGATCGTCTCTCTGTCCTTGTTCTCGTGGCAGACAATTTTTATAGCCACAATGCCAAAATTATCCAGAACAAGCCCTTTTCATCCTTGTGCTGCTTGTGCTCGCGCCCCGTGTCTCCCACAGCTCTCCTACCAGAGGGGTCCTTTCTCTTTCCTGACATATCCGATTCGGAACCTCGACACCCCTAATCTGGGAAGAAGGATGGCAAAGCGTCTGACAGTGGCATCAAGGAAGCGCTCCATGGGTATCAACGGCGTTTCAACTGCTTGAAACATGCTGATTAAGCTTATGGGGGCGCTTACCAAGTCCCCATGTACGGTACCTCTGCCAGGGCTGCCAAGCCAAAAATCCTCAATCAACATCACTGCTCTGTAGTGACTGAAACGTGCAAGCGGCGTCTGATCGTGGCGATCCGCAAAGACATATGTAAGGCGCGGAATTCGATGATCAGGAAATTAACTTCTTAGACATTCCCAAAAGCACTGCCTACTAGACGCAGGCGGCGGTATGTATTCGTCCATAGATTGTGCACTTCCGGATCCTTCTTCACCTGTCTCGT